AATAGCACACTATCAAAACATTTCGTTATGTTCTAATCGGAGATACATCGCGCAATTTAAGTGAAGGAGGACGAATGAACAATCAATTTTGAACTATCATCGTTCGGTAAAAGAGACAGAACGACAAATTCTTCTTCGTTTTCTTTTCTTCCCCATTTTCTTTTTTTGGCGACCGACATCTTGCCGCGAGACATATGATGATGTTAATGAACGGGAGAGGATATGTACATCTACCTTTTTTTTTTGATGTCTCGCACATCGTTCTTGATCTTGACCAAAAGTATATAACAGGAAAAAAAGTCATTTCAATTCGAATTGCTATCGGTAGTACATAGATAATCATTTCTTGCTCCGTCAAATCATGGCGAACGTGAAATGCCTTTTCACCTTTATGTCGTTTTTAACAATAAATTTGTCTCACTAGCTAAAATTAATTGACCTTCGTCTCGCACATAGTGTCAAACACCTTAGTACACAATGTACAAAATAAATGAACTATTGACCTCGTCAATATGACATCATATTGCGAAATTTCTTTCATCGTTCCCTTTTATTTCTCACTTACACTTTTATTAGACTTACCATGATGGATCAGTTAAACCTCGTCCGATGTCTGTTGTTGCACGCGCATATGTTCTTTTCTATTGACTGGACGTGTACATATATATACTATTGCTGTCAAAAGGTTAAAACAGTCTGTCATTATTTCAACTATTCTCATCAAACGTTATTATTGACGAAAAGAAAGAAAGGAGAGTAATCTTATATGCAATATCTTTAAACAACATTTGAACTAATCCAATCAATAATTGATTTCTATCAGCATAACACAACAGTCGTTGACCTTAAAACATCCGCATCAAACTGATTATGCGTCTGTGTCTACTGTGCTATGCACCGTTGAATCTCTTTGTGTATCTTATTAACATTTGTTGCTGTCTATGTTTTTGTCAATCATTCGAGGAAAAGATATTGATTCGATATGCAGGATGATATTTATTGGATCTTCTTCTTAGCAAATTTTAGCATCGTTAAGTGATTTTTGAGAATAGTTCGGCCATTGTTCCATTTCGTGAGGACGTGCTCCTTCATGTGTTAATTCAACAGGTGTACTGAAACTTGCATTACGATGAAATGGACTATTCAATGTTTTTAATTGTGTGACACCCTAGAAAATTGCATCGTTCAATGAAAAGAAGAAAAGAAAAACTTTTCAAAGATAATATTTACATGTGTTGTATGTCGATGTTCAGTCCAAAATGATACAGGCATTTCATGTAGAAGGTCATGAGACTAAACAGAAAGATGAAGAAGACTTAGGAAAGTAAGTTGTTATTGTTTTTCGATCGTAGAAAAAGAGAAAGTGCTCGATGTAGTTTACCTGTGTCGTTGGTGGTGGTTTCGATTCGAATTGTTTGGTGTACTGTGTTTGATATTCACTTGATGAATCGTTGACACGTTGGAATCGAAGCAGTTCTTCATTTTCGCTTTGACGCGCATTGAATTCCGCAGCGACTTGTTTGGTTAAGGAACGTTCTAGAAGTTTACGTCGAGCTCCTTGCTCTTTCTGATCGAATGGACCAAATTTATAGTAGCTATCACGATATACTGTAAGATCATCAAGCGGCGATGTATACTGCGGAGTCAATATAGCAGTATGAGAAGTTTTTTTAACATTTGGTGGTGAACTTCGCTGCTGTGTGTTATTTTGCTGTTGGATACGATGATCCAAATGTTCTGTGGCTCGTTCCTCAACCCAGTTTTCGATTAAAACTTGTCCGTTCGCGTTTGGTATTCGTCGAGTTTGTCGAACATTCATGTTTTATCGGAATTTCTTCGTTTAGAATATGCAACAGTTTGTTTTCTGATGACATTTGTCGATACAAACTATTTTTGTAAACATGGCAACCGTCCTCCGTGAGTTGCTTTGCTCTTCGCCATGATGTCGTTGATAGGCAGGAGAACAAACGTGCCTGTTTTCGTGACAACAGATGCAATTTGATTGATCTCAGGAGAATAATCAAGACTTAATTGATGTCTTTCGCTCGAGAAGACAGATCACAGCGTGTCATTCATTTCTGTCATATATTAAAAGAGACAACCTTGAAATAATATGTACTTAAATGTGTCACAGTGAAATATAATTTATGTATTTAGTTTGAAGAATAGAGAATGTGTTCACTGATTTGATAATCATGTTAGATTGACGGATGAATGAGAAATCTAGTGGAAAATCTTGTTTTGAGCAAGTTGATGAAAGAAAGTTAAAGTGACATTGTTATTATTATTCTCGTGCCGATCGATTACATTTGTACCCAGCTTGAAGGTCTGAGTCGGTTCTTTATTCATTAATCATTGCTTCGGACATTCTCAACACGTAATTCTTATCAATCACCATGAGAAAAAACAACACGTGGGAATCATGTATTTTTTATCTTTGATACAGACATTCAAAGGAGATAGTAGTGTTTTTCAGGACTTTGACTTTCGATCAAGTGAAGCCCATGTCGTTAGAACAGGTTTTGGCAGTTCAGGTTCTAAGAGATAAACGTTTATATTAGTTCGAAAGGAACATCTAAGGGGTTACTGTTGATTCGATTTAAGAGAGAAGTCGTGGAGAGATTAAGGGTGGTATTGTGTAACCAAGTAGTCCAACCGAATTTGGTGTGTCTGAATGGCTGAGTTTGATTGTTATTATCATTTTCGGTGGTGGAAGGTGTTTTTGATGCATTGGCATTTTTATTCGGCGATCGTTGCTGTTGAGAATAGGTCAATTTAGTTCATATTTACCTGCGCAGACTGCGTGTTACCTGAGATTTGCTATTTGAATTCGGGCTTTTCATCTAGACAATGGCAAGATCAATGAGCATATAAATAGAAATCAAGTGGAATACTTTAATAGAACTCTTTTTTGATAGATTTGTTTTTGTTCTCATTCTGAAAGATTAATCATTTATTTTTCCCGTGCTGTGAGCAGTGCTCTTACGGTGTTGATGACGAGGATCGTTTTTGACTTGTTTTTGAATCTGAAAAAAAAACAAGAATAATCGACCTGAATTCTTGTTAATAGACGAACTGATAGTTTTGGGAGTGTTCAGATGTGATCTGCAAGCGAGCGGACTGTTTGATCAGGTATTCAGTTGTATCATCGGTATTACTTTGCAGGTCGAAGCTTCAGTGTTGCTTTCGACGGAGTGATAGTTGAATCATTTGTAGCTTCTGATCGTTGTTTGATTAGCATATCATTGATTGTTTTTAATCTTTGATCAAGTTCGTTGTTATTTATCGGAATCTTGTTCAGTTTTTTTGATTTGTCATGACGACAATGTGCTAAGGAAAATAACGACAGAAAAGTCAAAGTAACTAAATTCAGCGAGAATTGTCATACACAGTCGATGTTGACGACGCGCTTCTGCTTCAGCTTGTCGTTCAGGCTCGGTTAGTTTGTATAACGCACAGAATATTAAACGAATAGTTTTACTGGTATCCAATATGACGGGAAGAGATCGAACCGCTTGAAAAGAAAACTTTCATTATCGATTAAACGAAATAGTCTGAATTCATCTTCATTAGTTATCTCCATTGGACGAAGTGTTCGGTTAAATAATAGATCTATATTATTTCCTTTTCTTAGATTATTTATGCCTGCTCAGCTTCCTTTTCTTGTGTTATTGAGGACATGCAAAATCCTTTTGACTTTGTCACGAGAACGCATACCTGTCTTGGCATTCTGAAAGTAATCTTTTTCTAAAATATCACCAAAAAGTATCTCAAAATTTGACTGTAGGATGATAAACGCCTTGGTAATATTTCTATACGGATCATTATATTCAAAAGATTTGATCTGTTCGCCCTTTGATTGTTCGTTTTCATCGGCATTCGAATCTTTGTCTTTGGACAAAATTTGAACTAACACTTTCGTTTTAAAGATAAATCGGCAGATTTTGATAATGATGCCTTGATCTAATTCAATGCACATTTTCGGATAAATACGTGAATCTGATCGCAAATGTCGGTAGGCATTTCTTGTTGTTAAACAAAACCGTCGGATATGTTCTTTGATTCTTCTTAATTCATCTTCCGTATGCACTGAAACTTGACAGATCGGTGAACTTGCTTCTCGTTGAGTTAACTCATTGCGTGTTTGAAATAAAAATCGCAGACGATCACTTTGCATCCGCCGAATGGTATATTCAATCAAATCATTGGAGATATTCGCTGCTTTATGAGCCCAAATCTGAAAGAATTTCTCACATGTGGCATTCAATGCATCAGCAGACATAGTTAGAAAATAGAGCGCAAAATTTGAATTTATTCAAGAAATTGTAAATCTGATAAAACTTGTCTTTTGTCTCGAATCAAATTTGAAAAACAATCTCGATCTAAGAAAGCTCAGTTAACGCATATCAAAGGGATAACATTTTCTTTTCGACTGATGTCGACTTTGACGAGCGTTGGTGTCCGAATAAATGTGAAATTCATTGCTCTTTTCCGACATTGTTATACAAATCTTCGGCAGAAGAACACTGCGAATTCCATGATGTGTTTGTTGATCTTCGTGTTGCGTCTGATCAGATGTAGTCACAAGTTGTTCTTGGAGGTAAAACGTCCAAATCGGTGCGACAATTATCGATAAGATTAATAGGGAAAATAAAATATGAGTCGATGTTGCGAACATCATGGTTATTCAATAGCAAATAGAAAAATAAGTCAAGTGAACAGTAGAATACTCGCTGCTTTTATATTCTTCCACTGATAGGAGTTCTTTTCATTCAAGAGGATTCGGTATTATTTATATGATTTTATAAGCTCATGATTTTCTGCGTCAAGTGAGAAGAACAAAGTAAGAACCGGTTAGATTCGTGACTAATACGAACTAAAATTACATTAGCATTCTTTTCTTGCAGGGCTTAGACGTCTAAAATAAGAAAGTACGAACTCTTACTCAGAAGAATCACCTGTAGTTTGAAGATATCGATGGGGAATACTATTCAATGGCATGATGTCATGTTAATCAGAAATCAAGACGAAGAAGAATATAAGGACATGACTTGCTGCACAAACTGCACTGGGATTGTAAGAAATAAACAAACTTATTTTTACTAACCGGTATGTTATTCAAAAGAAAAACAAAACATACATATACATATGGAAATGTCATTAAAATAGATAGATATCTAAGTTGAAAAACGAAAATAAACGACAAAACAAAGAGGAGGAGAAGAAGAAAGAGAGAAATACACATACACACTAGTGTGTTAAAGTCATCGTGTTCGTTTTCGATATTTTCCGAATAAAATCTTTTTAAATGCTTGTCGAAAGTCAGGAGAAAATATCGTGTAAATCACAGGATTTAAAAGACTATTGAGATAACCGAGCCAAGTTAACACACTGATAATTTTCTCATTCATAGTTAAATGAAAGAGACCACAAATGGTTTCTTCGAGAAAAAATGGTAACCAACATAGGATAAAACAACCCATCACAATACCGAGAACTTTTGTCGCTTTACGTTCGCGTTTAATATCAATTTTCTTTCGCGAGGTATGACTTAATGTTTTCGTCACAACAGTTCGATTATTTGCATGAGAATTTGTATTATTTGCACTAACTAACACAGCTGTCGTGACAACTTTGGAAGCAGGCATATCGGTAATCTGAGCTGAATTTGCCGCAGACATGTTCGCATTTCCTAATGGATTCGTAATTGTATTTACTGTTATTGGAGAATCATTATTAAACGACGGTGTTATTAAACGACGAGTCGACGATATCGAAGCAGGAGAATTGATTTGTAATGAATCGTCTTCTGAGTCTTGTTTGGAACGATTGTTCGTGTTTGATTGAATTGTAGGTGAGGAGATAACTGCAGTAGTTGTAGTACGACTAGAACGTGGCTTTTTTATTAGAGAATTCTTGGATTTTTTCAATGGTTTTAATTGATAATCATTATGATGTTGACTTGCATTGGAGGAGATCGTTGAACCGTTCTCGGGTTCAATATCATGCGGATGATTATGATTGGAAACGATCAGATTTCTTTTGAAAAGTCTTTTTAGTTGGAAAGAAGAAAATGCTTGATATTTGCTTTTATTTGGATGCGGCACTTCATGATTGTCGGTTTCTGATGTAAGTAAAGCATTCGTTTGTGGATGTGTTTCCGGCACGGAGGTAATACCTGACGGTGGTAGTCGCAGCGATGTTGTTGCAGTCGAACGTTCAGAGTTGAATGCACGACGACGTATACGAAATTTGGCCGCTTGAAAAATCTTCCAATAGATGATACACATCCCAATGAGAGGAATATAGAACGCTCCAACAGTCGAAATGATAGTATATGGTACATTGCCTATTAAACGACATTGATCCGAAGGACGACCATTAACATCACGAAATATAGGAAAGAGATGAGCACTGGAGATCAAGATTGATGTTACCCATATAACGCATATTAGAATCAAGATTCGAGCAGGTGTGCGCTTTGTTGCATAATCCACTACAATTGAGGAGAAGAGGAAATATATTTATATATACAAAAAGCCCATGCGAAAAAAATCTATTCTTATAATGACAGCTATTCAGTCCATGCATGTCTCAAAAGTATTAAAAGTTCGAGATAATATATTCCAATTATTTTTATCTTTAGTCTGCCGCGCTAAGCCTGACTAATTCTATGAGAGTACTCACGGTTGGTAATCGACCAATAACGATCGAGTGCAATGGCAACAAGATGCAATATTGAAGCTGTGCAACATAGTAAATCAATTGTCACAAAAGCATCACATATAAACGAACCAAGTATCCATGAACGTGTTACTTCTTTCAAAAGAGTAATGGGCATTACCTAAATCACAAATAGAAAGTACCGAATAGCAATACTTCTGCATCAATCTTTCTGACTATCTCTACACATAATTAGTTGTTTGTCTTTCCTAATCTTTCTTCTCACAAAAAAGTGTACATTCCGCGTACATCTGCTAGTAATATTTGTTTGTATGTATAGATAAAACAGAAATATTAGATGATCAGTTTACTAATGAGTTCATCATAGAACGTGAAGTAAAATGTCACATGTAAGCTGTTTGAGTCATTTGACCATTCATTTCCGACATATTATTCCATAAATAATAGCAGACAAAGTAAGAAACTTGTCATAGTAGAAAATAGAGAAGGAAAACTTCAAGGATAATTATATCTAGCACGCACGTATTGACCTATAAAGCAAAAATCGCAATATTGAACTGCATGCTTTATGTGAACGACGTTAGTTCTCTGCGATCATCGAAAATCAAATCATTCGATTGAAGTTATATTATATTTGTCTGCTTGTATCGGATAGATTGTAATGAACAAAAGAAAAGGGAAAAAGAATGTTCCGGTGTGGGTGTTGTATGTTTAGTCTTCGACAAGATTTGATAACATCAATTTTGACAAAAAGTTCCGTTGTGATTCTATTCTCTGACGAGTTTTTTCTTTGTTTTCAGCCTTTCACGATTTTCTATTCATAAAAGAAAAATGACAGAAATCATTGTGTCAGACATGAGTAAAACTCGAGTATCCAACATGGAGCCGCGATAGGAAGAAAACGAACGGCAAAGGGAATATAACTAAATCAGTCAATAAGAAGAAAGAATAGACAAAAATACATGTGAATCCTTCGATTTCGATTTGTTCAATAAGAAAAAGATTGTGCGTGGCATCGAATAATAATTTCAATGAAAACAAACTACGAACATATTCAATAAGAAACGAAGAAGCGACGAGTTATGAGAATCAGTCTTTCCTTGCTTTGCCTATCGATGTATCCATCTCGATCATCAGCCAGTTTTACTAATAACTACAAAAGACAAACAGCCAACGGAATATTAGCAGCTGACTTAGAATTCTTCTATTCGATCAGATTAATTCACTCGACAATGATGCTGGACTATTTTTAATGAAAAGAAACACCATGATTTACATCTCGTCATCGATATTAAACAGCGAAGATCAATTTTTGTCAGGTCTTGAAAAAAACGACATAAACCAGTGGAATCGTATCGATCAATCGAGTTTTGTTTTTGTTTATTCTCACGATCAAGCTATTAAAAGTAAATGCAACTATCAATATACGTCTTCCACGTCATTATCGAAGAAAAAAGACAACATTGCTTTCATCGCAGATGTAGCTTATCAATAAAGTAGCTATCATCGAGTAAATCTGTCTAACACATGTGAATATAAAATCAACCAGTCAACTGAAAGTTTTCTTTTTGAAGACAAAACTTTGTATTTGATAGCAATGACAGATGGCTAGGCGTCAGAAACATATTCCGAAGTATAAATCACACAATTCATCAAGATAATTATGGTAAAGAACGTGATCTACTTCTGTAGTTGACAAGCCGAAAGAAAGAAAAACAAATCAAACTTGTCAATAACTTACCATTGTAGCGATTAGGAGATCGGCCACCGCTAATGAAACGAAGAGATAGTAAGCAACAGCATGAAGCGCTTTTTCTAATTTAACAGCAGCGATAACAAGAATATTTCCCGTTACTGTTCCTAAAATAATTGCACCAAGTATAATTGATGTTATGATACAATGTTGAGTCGAAACAAAGATCGATGATGGTTCGGGATGAGTAGGTTTCGATGATGTTAGATCTGTTGTCGAATAGTCGTCACCAGTTAGGACGTGAGGACGTAGAATGTCTCCGAATACAAATGTCGATGAATTTAACTGAGCAAGAGTACCATTTATACATGAAAGATTATATGTTAGAAAACAGTCCATCGAACCGACGAACATAAATTCCGCAAGACGCCGAATCGATATAGAGAAGAACGTAGAAAGGCTTGTTTATCGATTTCTGTTCACTTTCATGCACGAAAGGTAGACTACGGGTACCAATTGGAGGAGCCCAGGTGGGCGAGGCCATATGGTAATAAGCGTTGATTGAAATCCGTCTTTCACCTGATCAACAACAACATGGTCGCCGTCTGAGTTGTTAGAAGATTGATCATTATTGATGTCTTATCAAATGAATGTGATAAATTCTGAAAAATATTTGTTGAATAGAAAATACATGGAGTAATAATAACGATTTTTCTCTCTCTAAGACACAGAAAGAGAGAGAGAGAGCACAGAAAGGAAGAGAAAGAGCGAAGGAGTCAACTATGAGATTGCTTGTGAATGTTACTAACATATCTTATCTTTTTTCAAAGAGAAAGCATGTTCCTTTCTTCGTCTTCTGCTTCTTCTCCTTCCGTTTCTCATCTTAGAGAACAATAATCGTTGTTTTAAACAGAAATGGCAACAAAGAAACAAACTAAGAAAGAAACAACAAAAACTTCCTCACGAAAAGAAAAATCAATAGTTTTGTTCTATTGCAACATACGACTACGTTCTCACACTCTCAAAAAACTCATATCTTCGGTACATACCTCTGTCGACATGTTCTATGTCATCATCGATAGAGTCGTTTCGGGCGAGTTAGCGCCTTCACACAGTTAACAGTGGGTTTCTCAGTAAATACAAATATTCGTTATGTTGATCGGATAAATTCTTTAACGATGACGTCCCCAGTTATTCTCAGTACATTGATACTAGCAGATTACTGTCGAAAAAACACGTCTGTGTTTAATTTAGAATCAAGAAAAAGCATGAACAGATTATCAAGATTCAAGATCAAAGTTCCTTACAGGGAGATAGCACGATTGACGTACAGTATCAAGGTAACTGATCTATAACGGACTCTCCTGATGATATCACTTCAGTAGAAATTCAATCAGACAGCAAAGAAATTAGTCAAAAAGAAATAGAGTCACGTTTGACATTGATCGGAGATAGGGGATTCTTCATTTCTGCTAACTAATAACCAACAAGAATAGGAATATTTAATTTGAATTCTCAAAAATGATCGATCATGTCATTATCTCTTTGTGGAATGAAAATCTACGAAGATTTGTGGAGCAGGATTGTTTCCTTTGAAAGAATGTTTCAGTTCTGAGAGACTCGATTACTTCTACTTACCAGTATTCTCATTTTTACTATTAGGCTGCATCCGAAATCAGAGCGGATGTAAAAAACATGTCAGGCAAATATATCTATGAATCTAGTGTAAAGTACTGTTTTAATTTCTATCATTTCCTCTCTTCATCTTTCCCCGTCATTCCCTTTTTTCATTTTGGAAAACAACAAGGAGAAAAAAGGCACTAGACCAGCACAGAAATTGCTACATAGAACATCTCTCCTACTCTATAGAGACTATTCTCTGTCATTCGTATGGATCCCTGTAGAAGAAGAATATCTGTCACATTTGTATGAACATTATACTTCGAGGAATGTCGAACTCATTTGAGCCGGCTTCTCGTCTTACAATTAACGTCGTTTTCAGCGAAATCAATTGCTAGAAGAAGAGAAGAAACTATATGATTTCATACATACATATACAGATAATTATATCTGCTGTTCTCGCTAAATGAATTATTTTAATTCACTAGGAAAACGTCATCGTACATGTCGACGAAATACTTTTCGATAGTTTTACTCCGTTTGATTGAATTGTCGAATTCCCTATTGTATTGCAATCAATGTAAAGCATTTTTTCGCGTATGTACCCATGCATTTCGGAGATTATTATTCATCACCATGAAAAGAAGCACGACCAGTAGTATTTAAAGAGTGATGTGCACGGTGTTAATTCAAGCGAAAGTTGTCTGCTAAAAGGACCAATTAAATTAATGTAGAAATTCTTGAAACATATTGATCTTTGTTTCGAATTGAGTTTGTCCATTTATCATTACAAATACTGCTCGCATTGACGATCATAACCATCTCTATAATGGCTATCAAAACGCGTCTGTTCATGACCTTCTCTACTAGTGCTACTAAAAGAGTACGCTCTTTGCTTTTGTGCACTAGTTGTGCGGAACAACAAAACAGCTCTATCGAATTAGAGTGATATATTTGACAGAGTAACACAAGCACTCGCATCAAGAGAGCTGCTTCAACCGGCACGCGTTGGACAAACGCAAAAGCCAACGAAGAAAAGAAAGCGGAACTAAAAAAAACAGAAGAAGAAGAAGGAAGAAGAGAGGAGGGAAGTTCTCGTCAAAGTAAGATTCTTTATTGCACGCATGATCAATGGCTGCAAGTAGATCTCCCTCGTGACATACTTAGCCATCATAAAGTCATTAACACTTTCTCTTACATTGTCTTCGCTCATCATTTTTTTTTCTCTCGACAGTCTACAGAGATCAATTCATTCGCTCGAATGATTTGTCAGCACACTTATTCAACATAATTTCATAATTCATTTTCAGCGAAAAGAAACTCAATAGATTAAAGCTCGCTGAAAATTCTCCTTCATAAGCAGTGTCAAATTAAGAATAAGATGGGGATAAGCCAGGGTATTTCATAGATTTTTCGCTTTAGAAGATTGTCATCGTCAAAGAAGGAAATTACACACAATAAATCTTCGATGGATAGAATGTTTCACAGAGCTCTAAGTGTTGATTTGTCAACAAGGAAGAAGGTAGATGCTGATCAAGACTAATATTACGGTAGGAAATAAGAACGGACATTTCTCTGATTATAATAAATAGGAAGAAATTCAGAATAACAAACCGGAGAAAAACAAACGTAACGTAACATTTAATTGTTTCGTCAAGCAGAAATGAATATAAATTTTCTTGAAAAGTTTTCATGAATAGAAACAATTTTATAAAGAAATTCTTTTGACTTTAAAATGCTTTCGTTCATATTAATATTCAATCAAGGCGGAAGCAGAGGAACAATTTCTACCTTGCACTCATGTACCTTTTTGTAGGAGGGAAAAGATTCGTTTTTCCTAATTGAAGAACGCCCGCTTCTCACTACAAACCCAAGAACAAATCCGAAGAAACAATGAGCAACAGACGGATAAAGAGAGAGAAAGAAAGTGAGCGAAATACACTTACCATACTCAAGGTTCTTCAACGGGTACTCTTAATACTAATGTTAATGCTTTGCTCTGATTTCCATCACATTATATGCACAACAGTCTTATTTCTTCTTTGTTTCATGAATAGAAAATAACAATGAGATGCAAGTAGGAAGATAGACAGTTGGCAAAAGGGGACTAGTAAAGAGCGATAGCTTGAAAAATCATTGACAGTCGTCTTCTATCAAACCGGAAAGAACTCATACGTTGTTGTCTATCTTTCCCTTTCTCCAGTCGTATTTGACAACTCTATGTGTGTGTGTGTGTCTCCCTCCCTCTTACTCGTGTTTAAAGATAGGGCACATACAAAACAAATAATCATTGTAAACTATCGGCAAAAAAGATGAAGTAAGGAAAAGAGAGATCACAGCACGAAGGGAAAGGACAATGCAAAAAGACAGAGAAAACTCTTTTTCTACGCATCATCCACATCAAAGCAAGAAAAGTGTCATATTTCGGTTAATAATTATTTTTTGCTTTTTCTTCTTCTTCTTCTTCTTCATCTTCTTCTTCTTTCTTTCCCTCTCTCGTTTTCATGCTGATCAATTGAATCTGTGAGCAATTAACAATTGACTTTTTCGCATTTATTTTACAAATCGGTATGATTTTCATTCGCATAATTTAACAATAAACTTATGTAGTCTGTCGATTTCGTTGTTGTGATATTCGTACTATTGATTGTGCTCTGATTGATCAAATTATTACCATAACTCGATTTCGAATCTTTAGTCGAATAAACGATTGACTTTGTACGTTTCCCAAACATTCGCATGAATAATGTTAAATAGATAAAAGTTACAAGAACAGCAATTAACATTAGATAAATCCAACAATTCGAAACGTTGTAAGCATTGTGTTTCAAGCGTCTGCTCTGAACATGGAGTTTAGCGGTATTGGTGTCAATCAAGTTCTCGGCTTCGACAAGTTTCTGAAAAATTCGAATGTACAAGAAAGAGAAGAAAACGACTAGACAGACTTTTTGATCGTCTTTGACGATATCATTCAGACGTTGTGCGCTGTGAAGAAGACTTTTTGTGGTTTGTCTCATCGATGTTGCTATGTCATCTTGTTTATCTTCTTCTGATTGGATGTATTGCTGTTGTCGATTGAGATTTGCTAAATAAAACAGAATTCTGCTGTCTTTATTGTAGTAATGAGAGTTGAAACAACGTACGACGTTCTAATCGTTTCAATGTATTGTGCTGTTTTTCATTTTCACTCAAAGAAATTGAAGAAGTTGGAATTTCCGCTTGTTGTTTTTCTAGCGACAAGTCGACTTGTCTCAGCTTGGGTACGTTTTGTGGAAATGTTTGATCTTCCTGAAATATTATTGAATTACATTGAATAGAAATTCAGTCCGTAGGTTGGACAACAAAACCTATTCAATCGATGACTACATCTCGGAAAAACTTCATTGTTATTCACTGTGAACTTCAACAATAGCGGGCAAATGAACTTAATTATTATCGCAGAAAAACGATGCTCAGTTCGAAATGAGGAAGTTATTCATTAGTATTCGTTTGAATGGCGCGGTTCGAATAATTAGAAAAATCTATTAATGACATCGTTATTTTACTTCAAAACACCGAGAGTTTCTATTTGCAGAATCTGTCAAAGATGTTTGCTTTGTACGTTCGACTGTGTTGCTTCGCGAAAGGAAGGATACAGCATAGCTAATTTATTCAAGATAGACAGACGTTTCTATTCGGTTGTAATTCAACTTCCGAAGCACTTTATAGCCTTGAAAAACAAAAGCTCAATTCGAACTTGTTCGACATACCAATTTAACTGGATCGACTGTTTGACGCAATCGATCTACTCTTTCTTTGTAGTTTTTCAACTGTTTTGAACTGGGAAAACTAAAAGAATCGTTCGAATAGGTTTCGGATGTTTACGGAAGAATGGAGACTTCTACTTTGCCCATTTGTGCACGTCGTTTAACATGTCGGTCAGCGCTTGAGCAAACTGAAAACATGTAAATCAAAAAGCCTTGCTCGTTAATTGATTAGATGCCTTTTACTTGGTGAACTTTCCAATCTTCAATAGCTTTTTCTTCAACTAATTTCTCTGTTGAAGATAATAATCTTCGGAAAATCTTATCAATGGAAAGATTCGGAGGAGCAACCATGGCTCGTCTATCTAGAAGAGAATGATAATGGATTTTATTTTTTATCATCGATGTCAATGTTTTAAGAGAGAGAGAGAGAAATAAGAATGTTCTAGTTTATTGAGTCTTCTTGGTAATCAATGTCTTTTTGCGTTGACTCCACATGTGTCGCATCATATGGAGAAGACCTAAAATAGACCAATAGAGTGATTGGTTTGAGAGATTGTTTCAACGAACCAAATGGCATTAAAACTAAATAGATTTGAAGAAAAAGCACAAAGTTGAAAGCGAAATTGGCTCGATTTGGTAATGTTATGCTGAAATAACCTTTGGAACGATAATGATCCAGACTTTTATAAATAATCAATCCTAAATAATTCTAATGAATAATCAATTGTTTCGCAAAAAAGACCAATGTTACCTTCGATAAATGCGCCTAGTGGATAAAGAACGATCCAGAACGTATAGCGGAACCAAGTTATTGCACGATTTTCTTTGTTTAAAAGTCGAATACCATAGTATGGATAGCTATGCATCGATATAAGTAGAACACGAAGCGATTCGAGGAGGAGGAGGATTTCTTTTACCGGAATATTTCAACAAAACTCCATACGAAAAGTAGACAGGGAACAATGGGTGATGTTTGAATTTGACGATTGAAATTAATAACAATAAAGAGAATTAAATTGCGAAAGAGAAACTAAAGAAAAAACGAATTGATTAGTTCGATGTTCATATTGAAGAGTTGTTTACTTGAAAAAATGGAACTAAGTAATCGCCTTTGGTAAAACCAATTAAAGGATGAATTGTTTCGAGAATGGTTAAGGCTTGGCATAATTTAATTGGATTTTCAACTACTTTATAACCGTTTTTAAGATCTACATCGAATAAACACATTCAAAGAGAAGTTTGATGGTGATTTTCGAAGAAATTATTACGTCCGTGTGTGAGGAGATACATTGTTAGACGAGTAAATACCCAGAAATAAGCGATGAATTGAAATAGATTGTAAAAAAGTAACCAATTTGTTCGATGGTCAAGAAAACCTTCAAAAAATATGGAATTTCAAATTTCGTTTGAAAACTTCTTTTGCAATACCTTTTGTTTTAGCTTTGCGAGAATCTTGACGCAAAGATTTATACATATCCTCATTAAAATTCTTATTCTGAACACAAATATGTTCAACATCACTTCAACAATGCAACTATTACTTACAAACATCGATTTCTTTTGTTCATCATCCGAGTCATCTTCACTAAACGTCATCCTATCAAAATCCGCCTACAAAAGATATCAATAAACTTTCGTAAAACAAACCGACAAGTAAACTTTACCTTTAACCACGGCAGTTTAGCAGATGCTTTAGTTAGACGCGGCCATACATTACTATTGCTATCATTTTTCTTCTTTTGTAAACTAACGCTGATTTCTCGATCATTAATTTTATAACTGCTAGCCTGTGTTGACCATCGAATAGAAAAATCTTCGTTTTAATCGTAGTAAAACGTACTTTTGCGTCAACTTTCTCATAAAGTTCAATTTCAAATGAATACAATTGTTCACCACGTGATCCACTGCATCCCGTTGCTTGAAATTTTATACTATCTTGATTGATTTCAACCTTCGGATACTAAACCAAAGTCTGAAAGTCAGTTTACATCCTTCTAACAGCACATACTTTCACATCTGTAAGTCCAATACGCAATGACACAGTCGATGATGTTTGTCCCCAGTGAATCTAATAGAAAATTGAAGTCTCAAGGAAATTCTTAACGTGCAAAGAATACCGGTGGATGTAAATCAATTGATGATGCCATCTAAAATAAATGAATATAATCTTCGTGTATTATATTCGTAATCCATCACCAAAAAGACGCTATTTGTTCATTAGTGGCATGTATCTCGAAATGAACAATGTGGTTTTTCTTCATTTTCGTCAGATTTTATTTTGTTTATTAGTATATAGTAGAGTTTAAGAGAACATACACAAAAAAATTCAGGGAAGAAAATGAACCATATTAAAAAAAAAAGAAGAAGAAAGATCAACGCATGAAGATTAGAGAACAAGAGAAAGAAATAGATACGTTCGCGACTCACACAAAAAGAGGTTTAGTTGCTTGCTTTGTATACACAGCGAAGAAGGAAAAAGTTTCGAAGAAGACAAACTCATTGTTTTCCACGTCATTACCATCTTTTTGTTTTCTATTTTGCTTCAGATATGTCGAACATCAACACGCATTTCCAACTATCCGCGTGCACGAAAGTTTTGTTCACAACAAGTGAATCTCTATGAACTAGATCTTATGTGTAGAATGATCGGTTTGTTTGTTTGTTTGTTATAGCGCCAAGACAAACGAAAGAGGAAGAAAAATTCGAGCAAAGACAAGTTTAAATGTATTGATTTACGCGCGTACACACACATACACCACAACCAGACAGAGATATTTTAACTAAAAGCATCAAACACACTACAAGAAGTAGAGAAATTGTTTAAGAATGAAAAAGAAAAGAAAATTGGTTTGGTTTTCTTTTATGCAAAGACGAAAAAAAGAGATATTGACAGTAAAAACTGATGAGTTGAAAGAAAAAGAAAGAACGAGAAGAAAATCTTTATTGCACACACACGCGTGCGTAAATAGCACAGCACAATGGTTGTAGATCTCATTTTGTTTGGTTTGGTTCGTTTAATTTGTATTTTTTTTTGTCGATATCAAGCTCGGCCATCAAATAAGAGCATACATCACATATAGGAAAGAGAAATAAGAAGACGAAAATGAAAACAATAGACATTCACATCACGAACATACAAAAAAAATGGATGGTACCGGGAGGGAATTCTCAGTGTGGTGCAGTGCATCAGCAGCGGAAAAAAAAACAGATATGAATTAAAGAGCGAAAAATTTCCATGTGAAACTCACACAAATATAGTCGACAGTAATAGATACACAGAATGAAAGAGCATGAATTGTAAATGTACACGATTGTAATGAGACAAAGAGAGAGGACACAGTTTTATCATTTCACTGACTTGTTTTGGCCGATAGAGCGAAGAGAGAGATAGAGAGAAGAAAAAAAAACAAAAAAAAAAGAAAGAAAAAACGAAAAATGAAATCAACTCGCAAGTTTTCTTATTTTGCCTGTCGTTGTTACTACTACATATATGGTCGATAGTTGCCGAAAGACGCATGTTGTGGTGGATGATTGAGCGATGATGGTGGTTTTGATGGACCTCGATATTGTTGTGATTTACCCCAATCATTCATGGAAGGATGGAAACCTTGCTGGTCTTGTAATGATCCTTGTTGCCACTGGGATCGATTTGCTTGTGGTTGTCGTGACATATGATGAAGTAATTGAGGATTTGAAAAAGCACTAATGAAAAACGAGATTAAGATGAGAAAATAAACAATATTCAATTGTTGATCGTTTACCTCTCTCCTCCACCAACACTGAGATTACCCATCGATGATGATGATCCTTTAGGACCGATAATCAGTGAATTCGGTGTCACATGTGGATCATCATCTGCATTCGGTAACGATGATTTCCAATTCCATAATTGTCCAGGTACGAATGGCGGTGGCCCATCGGTATCATCGACAAATTCAGATAACGGATCGCCAAATGCTGACGATGATCCTTGATTATTATGTGTATGAGAGTCAATATTACCGACTGGATTTGAATTGCTGGACTCATTTATCTGAGAGCTTTCCCAGTTCTCGTTTGGATTTCCACCTGTTTGCCAATCTTTTTGTGTTAAACCAGATGGCCCGAACATGGATGACTGTGCAGTACGTGTAGTTGTTTGTTGTTTTGTCCATTGATGTAATCGCGATTGATCAACGTTCAATGAGTTCTGCATTCGATCAGCTAATTGATCTTGAGGGTGAGATAGTGATACTCCTGTTGATTGTTGATTTTGTCCTCCCGGACCACTATTGATCATTTGTGCTGACGATGGTGTCGATGTACCTGATTGCTGTTGAACCAGTTTAGCATGCGCATCTTGAATTTGTTTTTGTACAACTAACATTTCCTGTCGTTTCTGATTCACTAATTTGGATAGGCGTTCATATTCAGTTTGGAAGAACGTAATTGGAAAGCGTTGTTTATGTTTGACGAAATCATTGATTTGAACAGTTAGCGATTGGTATTTTTGTTGAAGTTCGAATAACTTTTGGAGAAGCTATGAAAAACAAAAGGATTCGTTTCGTATTGAAATTTGATTAAAAAAAAGATGTATTACATGTAACATAGATGGTGGTAGTTTTGTATTGAGTAAATCTTGACTAATTAAACCAGCTTGAACAGCAAGACGAAATTGTTGCATAATTTGAGCGTGAACGGCAACATTGTTCACATTTCCTGATCCTTGCTGTTGCTGTTGCGTTGGTGTTGGCGTTTGAGATGATTGCATTGGAATATTACCTTGTTTACCCGCTAATGGAACATATGGTGCTTGATTTGGTACAGGCGATGTCGTCGACAATTTTGGTGATATCAAGCCGCCAGTACCCATGATTGCACCAGATGATGTTTGTACACCGGTCGGATTGATTGGTCGTAAGATACTGTTTGATTGGTAGAGTGGACCAGGTCGTGGTGCAAATTGAAGCTGAGAGGGTGGCAACATATGATGGGGAGGAGGCGCATTCGTTCCTGAAGGTAATAGACCACCAAGACCAATAATGGGATTTTTGAGATCGGAGCTTTGTCGATATGGGTCAGACATCGATGAATTATCAAAACTAGCCATACGATGCATACCATGAGGATCATGAGTATTTTCACTGAGATCATAATCATTCATAAATCGTGGTCGATTCATTGATGACATGCCTAATGAACCACCCATACCACCGCCGGATCCACCTGATACGCCCCAACTACTCGTATCAACTTGACCTTCATACGGATCAAATGGAGCTTTGTTTTGGGTATTCTAAAGAACGAAGCAAAAAGAAAGAACTGATTCTAGATTATTTGCTAAGCAAAAATTTACTTGTAAACCCCAACCACTTGTATCAACCAATCCATCGATAAATGATTCATTTGAAGCATGTTGCATTCCAGGTTGAGGCTGAGCATTCCAGTTACCACTAGGAGCCGATTGTTGTGTACGATAATTCGGTAGTTGTTGAGGCGTTGGCGATGAAGTTCGTTGGCCAGTCAATGCAGATGCGTCATTCCATCGTGCTGCTGATTGATCTGGCAATGTTGGCGATTGTTGTTTCGACCATTTCTCGTCGGTAAATGGCATCTGTGCCGCCGTTGGCGTTGATGCTGGATTTTGAACATTTCCCAAGTTAGGCTTTTGTACAACAGATGCTTGCTGCTGTGGCAAAGTAGTATTAGTCGCGTTAGTTAAAGCTGCTTTAGTACCGTTTGTCCACTTTTTCACTGGAACAGTCATTGACTCAATAGGATCACCCCAAACAGATGTACCATCGTCGAAATTAGTGCGTTTTGCTACTTTTATCTCAGGCTCATCCCAACCTAATTGTTCGACAAGTTTAGGTTGTGGAAGAAAGTTTATAGTTGGATCACCATTTCCACTGGAAGGATCAGCATTGGCACCACCGAGAGCAATAGCCGATTTCAATGCACCGGTCAGCGAAGCAGCCATCGACGATGAAGACGATGAAGATTTATTCTTATTTGCCGCCGAACCACTATTACTACTTGTCAATGTAAGCGTGTCAGCAGCAGTACTCGATGACGAAGGATCTTGCCATGTTGATGATGCACTATAGACGATGATAAGAACATATTTTCGATTCGTTCACGATGTATAGAAGGAAAAGGACTCGTACCTGTTGTTAGTCATATTTTCAGTATTGAATGGTCCACCACTACTAGATGAATTAGTACCATAGAAATTGCTCATTTCCGGCCATTGATTGCTGGTTGCATTGTTGTTTCCAATTGCATTCGATCTGGACGGATTGTTACTAACTGTTTGTTGTTGAAAATTTGACCAACCATTTTGAGTTGAATTATTCGAAGTCACCGGCTTACCCCAGTCAGATGTCGGACTAGATGTTTCAAGTCGATCAAAGCCTATAACAAGAAATATACAATGACGATTCCGCTGAACATAGAAGTTATCCAGAAATACAAAGCATGCACATTTAGAATCAATAGTAAATTATGGTGAAAACAAAAAATAGCGCATACCATCCCCACCACCTGCTGTCTTATGATTAGAATCGAGTGATTGTTGTGATGAAGAACCGGCTAGATTTGAATGTCGTTGAGCATCGTCATCCATCATCCATGATGCTGTTTGATTGAAATTTAAAGGCCAATTCATTTGAGATTGTTGCTGTTGTGATTGTTGATCGTAAAAATTGGATCCGAAACCAGAACGTGAGCCTGGAAAATTAAATGCACTACTGGTGGAAGGTGTCACTTGAGACGGTGAAATGCTTCTGGTCGTCGATGTTGTTCCTGTTGCCCCTGACATTCCTTGTGTTGCTCCTCCAACAGAAGTCGTTGTTGTCGAATGTTGAGAAGATGGTGATGAAGACGAAGGTGAGTTTCCAACAGCATTACTACCACCGTTATTGTTGCTAATTCCTGCTTGTGTTGCTGTAGCGTTAGCTGCTGCAACAGTGTTGGTCGAGGATGCAGACGTATTGGACGGTGTATTTGAATTTGAAGTAATAATTTGCGCCCAAGTTGGCTTGGATGGTGAGGAATAAGGTGAAGATCCACTGACACAAGTAGTATTACTACCAACACCTCCACCACCGCCTATTTACAGATAGAAGAAGAACGATAACAACCAAGCTATATACAACAAAGCGGTAGTTTGTTTTTTTTTCGTGACAGAAATCAAATTCCCAGAGAAACAATAGGAAAAAGAAGGCAAGCATTGTGCAGATATCAAACTTCTTGTTTTTCCGATCAATTACAAAACGAAAAAGGGAATAAATAAATAAACATCTTACCGAACAAAGATGAAGACGAAGAGCCTGTCGGAGATGGATGGCTCTCGTTACTCATCGTCACAGACACTAGCTAGATATAAATGTGTTTGTGACGTTAAAAATAGAGAAGATCTAGAATGCAAGAGAACAAAAAGAGATTTCTTTTTTTTTGCTTCATTCGTATTTATAAACAATAAACCATGTACAGAGAGTATAGACAGAAATTCTATTTTTTTTTCTTCTCATGATTAGCAGCCATGCTTGATGAACCATTTAGAAGGAAACAAAGAATGTTAGATGTGTATGTGTGTGTAGTTTTTTTTCGAAATGCATTAATGAGTCAGTTTCCCTTGGACGAACTTTCACCTAACGACATCTATAAGATGGGATTAACGGAAAGTTTCGGTTTGAAATTAATAATTTCAACATTCTCTTAATTGACTTTTATTTCATTCTCAAAAAACGAAGCTTCTTGAGGACAAAAACTAACGATATCTATAGTAGGCAGCTCGGATTGATTCTTGTCATCTCTGTCAAAAAAATAAACACAATTGTTTTTTTTTCACAGAAAGAAAAAAAATCGAGACCAGAGTTCAAACGACAAGCAAAAGTACCAACTAATATTATCTAAGATTTAATAAGCTTCCCAGAGTATCTTTTATCAACGCTTTTTTTCGTGTTTCGGACTGAAGAAAGACTATGGGTGAGGAAAAAAACCGTCGACACAGTCACCTTGATTCTGCTTCGCTATTATTTTCTCCTTGATTTTCTGCGAGCATGTACATAACAAAAACTTTGTATTTTTAGCACTCTATGTTACCCAAAATGAGAGAGATTCGAGTGAGAAAGAGATTCGTTTTCTGTATACTATCAGCTTATTTCGTAATTCAGCACAGCTAACAGTAAATCCATGGTTTGTCGGTACTTGTTCGAATAGACACGATGCCGGTCGAATCCTTGAATCTTGTCGTACGATCGAAGTAACTAGTCGATATTTCCTCATCGATTTCCAATCTCCTTTGTTCTAGAATGGGAATTTTCTTGTTCGCAAGAGTGAAAACAGTGATACACAATATGCAATAACACTTTGGTTTGATAAGCAAGTAACGCATGTTCGCATCAATCAAGTCGATGGCAAACAATATCAACTTGAATACAATTCGAATGCAAATTTGTCTGTTCCGGTAAGATTTGTTTAGCAGAAAGATCGTCTCTTTTGATCAGGCAATTTCATTTAAAGGTGTTTCCAACGATCGAAGGTTTAATCAAGTTTTATACCGAACATGAAATGAAACTGACAGGACATTGCCAAGGATTTGTTAAGCTTAAATTTAATCCGAATCTGTTTAAAGATTGAAATTGTTGACGAACAGCAGTGCAACAAATAAAATCTGTGATATTTTCTTTCAGATAATCCATGACACATTCATTTATTGAGGATCCGGATTTTGATGATGAAGATGTAAGTGACTGACTAGCAAAGTTTTCTTGACATCTGCAATCATTTGTGAAAATACTTTCAGGATGAAAATGAAGGTAGCTTTTGTTCTTTTCACTGCACTTTTCAGCTATTTTCTCTGTGATTATCGCTTGAAAATCTTTCTTGTTTTATGCTTTTTAGAAAACTATCGACGATTACTGAAAAGATCTGGTAATTAATTACTTTGTCGATGAATCCCATCTTCATTTACACACATTTTTCTTTAGGATCATTGCCACCATGTGATTCTTCGATCGTAAGAGATGATTTCGTCGCAAAACACAGTTACGTCATGTGGAAAAGTTTTATTTAGTTACCGGCTTCGTCGTTCTCAAATCGATGTAGTCTATGCTCGCGAGAAGAAGCGGAAAATGTTTTGAAAAACTCAAGGGGAGTCAGTGTACGATAGATTGATTCATATAGAATGGTTAATTCATATTATTATTGATTTTTATTAGCCGGGCTACTTTTTAGTTCGTCCAAGTGCTCATTTGAATCATCCGTATTCACTTAGTGTTCTAACAAATAAAAAGCAAATTTATCATTTTCAAATTGGTTACATCGCGAATAAATACGTTCTCGGACCTCTTCAAGCAATTGATCTGGCCAAATCAAAAGTACATGTTGAAACATATTTTCAAATGCTAAACATCAATTTCATCTTCTTTTCAGAGATTTTCCACGCTGAGTGATTTTCTCCAATGGTTTTCCACGCATCCCATTCAATTTCAAGATGATAATCAGAAAGATCATTCGGTTTTATTACAATTGTATCCTATATGTGAATCCACACGAATTTAACTAAGATAAGAAAAGAGAACAGGGAATTCGTACAATTTTTATCTTTCTCCTACCTTGATAACATTCGTGCATGTATTTAAATACCTCACGGATGAACGTCAAGTAAATAAAATAACCCTTCACATGATCGTCAATCATTCGACGCCTTCCTGTGATGTCATTGTAATTTACATACTTTTTTCGCTTTTCTCCATGCCTATTATTACTCATAAGGTTCTTTTTCATACGATAAGTGCATGTAAAATCGTTTTCACACTTTGATTTTCTAACACGGAAAAGAATATTGTGCGTATTTAAATTTGCTACTATCATCCGTTGAACGAAGAACAATATTTCTTATCTAATCGTTTGTCACATTTCCTTTCTAGATGGGTTTTCATCAGTACCATCGACATTTGTCTTCATCTTTCATCTTCAAGTAAGTTTATACCTCGCATCAATCGTAGTCAATATTTAAACAATGCTGTATCTCTGTTTGTTTGTTCACCCGTCTGCCGAAAACGCGCGTATTATCGTTTGTCCGTTGAAACATATCCAGATGTGTGTAGGTGTATGACATGTATAAAAGCATGTCTCGGATGAGTGATAGATCAATTTGAGGGCCCAATCTATTCTTCGTCGTTTCTTTTTTTCATCAAAGCCGACGAATGACAATAGATACCGCCTTGACATTATATAAAATATGTATAAGATCATGAAGGTGATTACCTTGATCACGATTTCATGATACAGACTTTCGATTTCACTTGTCGCTCTTTTTTCGAGGGATAGGATAAAAAATGTATCAATTAATTGTTTCTTGTTTTCTTTTCCATCGTGTTTCATATCGAAGAAAAACATGAGTTTGTTTTTGTAATTAGAAAACTACGGTCAGTATATGCTCATTAGTTCGTTTTCAGTTTGATTAGTAGCACCAGCTATGACTGTGTGATTTGATTGATGAAATCAAACTCAACGAGGAAAAGAAAATTAAATAAATGGTGTAAAGTTTACAGAAAGAAAAGGAAATATTTGACGTACGTTCAGCATCGATATGTGTGTCTATGTAGATCACTGGAGAGAAAGACAGAAGAAGGAAAGAAAGAAAGAAAGAAAGAAGGCAAAGAGAATCGAAAGAAAAATAATTGCAATACAGTTACAACTACGACGATGAGGACAGAAGAATAGATCACGTAGAGTAAGTTCAAAATATGAAGCAATGTGTTTATGTATATGTATACGCATTTGACCTTTGCTTTTGGCAGAATGATTCGTGATAATTATAGATAGATGATTTCAACATTCTATGTATGTTTACTCTGAATAAATATGAGTACTTGATGTTTTAACTGATTCATTCATTCGTGAATCATTGAAATATATATATTTTGTCTTTAGCAAGTGATTATTCATTGATCGATATGATGCTCAATACGAGTAACGTTGCACATTCAATTCTCGCCGAAGAAGTTGACAATTGCAATAGTAATAATAACAATAACAATAGTTTATTGCTCAATGATCTCTCATTTCATAATGATGATATGATTACGAATGGATCATTACATTGTGGAGTTTACGATACAACGGTATTCGACGTGCTCAAAGTCGATCCTGAAGATTTTGCTGTAAGTTTCGTTTTATGTACTTCTAATCATTTATTTTTCTCCATTCACCTTGAAACAACGTCAGAAGTATGTTGTACGAAGAACTAAAGTAAAGAAATCGTACATCGAATTTGTTATATCGATTGGCTGAGTTATCGTTCGAATAGACATATTGATACTTTTTTCTCATTCTGATGACGTATGTGTTATCTCTATGCCATTGAACATGCATATTATGTATCATGTGATTGAGAAGAAAGATAAGTTCATCTTATTTATCATGCACGGATATGATCTATCAATAGAAAACAAACTAAGATGTTGCAGAAAGAACAGAAGAAGAGAAGAAGTATTTCTTTGATTGATATATCTCATGGGAAATATTCCTCGAAATATACTCTGTCCTTATATGGAGCATCTGCTAATTCCCTGAGTAAAGAGAAGGAAAAAGGCAAAGTTCATAAGCGAAATAAAATTTTTTTTTTTCATTATTTCTAGTCACAAATCACATTAATGGATCTTCCAGTATTCAAGGCTATAGCTCCAGATGTATGTAGATCAATGAATAGACGTAAAATGAAAAACAAAGAAATATGCTATTCTCTTAGGAATTAACAAGTTGCGGTTGGAGTTCGAAAGCCAAACTTGAAAAAGCCTTTCATATTGTTCAATTTACTCGTCGATTCAATCAAGTATGTGATTGGAAAAAAAGTGACCGATAGTTTTATCATATGATAATCGTTTAGGTTAATTTCTGGGCTCAAGGTGAACTTCTACGTGCTGATATTTTAAAAAATCGTACTGAAATTTTATCCCATTTTATTCGAGTTGCGAAGGTAAATACATCTTTCTTGATTTACATTCACAATGAACCGTTTTTTTGCAGAAACTTTTCGAATTCAATAATATCAACGCATGTATGGCTGTTGTGATGGCTCTCCAGAGTGCACCGATATATCGTTTACAAAAAACTTGGGCGGTAAGTTGAGTTCAATGTGCTCGATTAAAAAAATGAAAGTTGAAAAATTCTTTTCAGGGCCTTAGTAAACGTGATCGAACAACATTCTCAAATCTCAAAGAATTCGTCTCAGCAAATGAAAACTGGAAACGACTAAGACATCATTTAACAAATACTAAATTACCATGTATTCCATATTTAGGTATGTGAAAGAATTTCGTTCGCTTGTGTTTTAATTTATTTTTCGCTTTTTTTTTTAAAGGAATTTATTTAACTGATCTCATTCGCATTGACACTCTACATCCGCACGGCGGAGGACTCGAAACCAATCAACGTAAAAACGCGATGAATAATATCTGTCGAGTCATATCCGAATTTCAGCAATCAACTTACGGTTTGTTTCGAACTTCTTTCTCGTACAACTAACATTTTCTCTGCTCTACTTTTCTAGAATTTCTCCGACCTATTGAATGTGTACAAAACTATCTAGGGACTGTACGGTACATGGAAGAACTGCAAACATTTGTTGAAGATCAAAATTTCAAACAATCGTTAGCAATTGAACCTGATCTGATCAATGCTGATCATTCCGATTCGCACTATGAACGTACACCGAAGAATTTAGAAAAATCAGCATCATTCAAAGTCTCACATGCCGACAACCATTCAACTTGTTCACATCGACGAACTCTGAGCGACTACAATCAGTATGTGAATTCCTTCTCAACTGTCGATTTTTCTCATCATCTTCATCTTTTCAGTTCAAATGGTTTATCTTCGTCGAGTAAATCAGCCACATTACCATGTAGAACACATGAAAAGAAAAGTTTGCTAGACGACAGTGTGCTAGGCGATTGTATGACAGAAGAAACTCGATCTAGTAAGTAAAATCCTCATTCGCGAATAGTCGAATCTTGTATGAATAAAATCAAATCTTTTAGGTCTATTATTGTGTAAAGGTAACATAACCCGTTAGTTTTTCATTTTTTTTTGTTTTCCTTTGGCAACTTAAACTATGCTTTGCTTATGGTTTTTGTCCTCTTAAGAATGACATAATTCTCAATCAGTTTTCTTTAAACAATTTCAACACCAAACTTTTCAGTTTACTTAATCTTCCTTGTTCTTTAGTAAGAACAATCTTTTACTCACAAATAACTCTTGGTTGACGTGGAAACAAATCCCTTGCTCTTTCCTTTTGTGTTACTCTGCTTGTTATTTCATCGTTTTTCCGAGATTCATTCCTATACATTCGATGAAGATGTTCATTTGTTATGTTTGTTTAGGTACTGATTCCAATGATTCATGCGAAGAAGCAATACGTAAAGCAAAAGAATACATAAAGAACAGTGGAAAACACCATCACATTGCACAAGGCATATCCGTTTCTTTATCATCACTGTCAATGAGAGAACCGTTAAATCCACACAATGATCCATTGGTAACATCAAATTTCAACTTCGAAGGTTCGTTGCAACGCAAATGTCTTCTAAAGAACTATAAAAAACCCACGATAACTAAATGGAAAAAATATTGGGTAGCGATCTGCGAACATTTACTCTTTTTCCATAAACAAAAGCCATTCATAATGACATTGCATATGCGCTTACATCGCTCACATCGACAGACAGCAATGAATAATGATAGTGATAATGCTTCATCGACACAATCTGCACCTGCATTGCTAAATACATCATCTACGCGAACATTGATCGAATCCGAACGCTTATTCTATCGACAAAATCCGACGAAATGTCAATCAATATCTGACTGGTTGATTGTTCTCAGTCAAACAAGAAATCGCAATGAAATTCAACTGAGTGATCTCAATCGAGGTAAGAGGTTTCGTGTTTACCTTCTCGCTTGCTTGACTTTCGTTTGCTATTAGGATCGATGTATAAATTCAAATTTGAAAATGCAGCTGTAGCAAATATCTGGTTCCAACGTTTGAAAGAAGCATCTACATTTAAACAAAACAACGGTCGACGTTCGGAAAATCTAATTGCATTGGATTGATCATCCCGAAACAAAACACACTTTTCAGTTGTTTTGTTTGCCTATCATTCTTATTCGAGAATTAATCATCATTATCACTAGTCACAAATGCATGTGCGATGATTTTGTTGTATCGTTAAGAAATATATAAATCCTACGAAGCTTCCTATCTCCCATTTTTCTTTCTCTTTTTTTTACGTGTATTTCTTATTTTTTTGTGTGTGTGTCTGTCTGGTAGATCTTTTAGTTTAGTATATCCATCTTGTTCTTTTGTCTTTTTCTATGTATATTGTTGTGTGTGTTTGTCGAAAAAAAAACCAATGTTTTTTCTTTTGTGTGTGTGTGTGCAAATTTTGATATACTGAAACAAGAAATAATAAAACAGCGCAGTGAAACTGTCAGCGCAGAGACGTACCTATCACTGATGAAACATGAGTGTAAGCGAATTCCATTTCAGATAAATGTCGTCTTCATTCAAACCATCAAGAACACCTGAGAGGCAACAAAGACGGAGGCGTACTAATAATAAAGTACCAACAGGGTAAAGAATTCGTTGTATTAACTCGATGGCATACTCGGATTTGTATTTATATATTCAGTTGGCTTGATTATACACCATTGAATACGTGGATTGAAAATACACGAATTATTCCGTTTAAATGTCCTTTGAAAAGAGTTGAGTAACGAAAAAATTTGTTGAGAATGAAAATCAATGTCAAGTTTTGAATGATGTTTAGTCGATTCTACGGCATCTTCAAGAAGATGAACGATTTTCTCTGGACGATTTAACAGATCGTTTAGCAAGTCAAGGCCGTAAAATTGGTTTAATCATCGATTTAACTGATACTGATCGATATTACGACTATCGAGTAAGAGTTACTAAAAGTATTTTTTCATTTTCGCGAGGAAATTATGTAGGACGTGGAAGATATGGATATTGAATATTGTAAAATTCGAGTGCCTGGTCATCAAGATGTACCTGAACATAGTTGTCGAAAATTTTTTCGAGTGGTTGATTCATTCTTACGAGACAATCGACATAATGGTAAATACTTCACTTCTCTCGAATGTAGAACCATCATGTTAAGCCTTTTTCTTTATCGGTTCGTAGACAAACTCATCGGCATTCATTGTACACATGGAATTAATCGAAGTGGCTATTTTATTGTCAGGTATTGTTTTGTAACAAGTATTTGTGCTCGTCTTTTTCAAAATCTACGTTCACTTAGATATTTAATCGAAGTCCTTGGTTTACAGCCTAACGATGCTATCTCTGGTGAGTTTTATTTGATATTCAGTTCTAGAAGAAGTTTGTTTCGTTAGCTTTCAATCGAGCACGTGGTCATCAAATGGAGAAGTATACTGATGATCTTCGGAGGCGAACTCCAGGAACGTAAGATAATGTTCTCGAATGATTTTGATTCTATGATGCATTCGAGGTGTTTTTAGTGTTACTCAAGTCACATCATCGGATTCTGATGAGAATGATTATTATGTGACAAAAGATCGACCGTTACCATATATTCGGCCATCGGTAGATCCAATTCCTAATGATTGTTCTACAAAAGCATCGGAAATGAATCTATGAATTTCTTTTTAATCTTTCGATGTGGAGCTCATCGATAAATATTTTGCTAATGAAATCTTGATCGTTGTTATCTCTCAACTGTTTTTGACATTGATCAAATAAAAAAAATTGATTATTATCTGGAATATCCGGTAGATGTCGCCAGCTCTTGATACGTTTACTCATTTCCATTCCCTTTTGCTTTCTTAATTTTCCAATTTGCAATCAAAACAAAATTTGAAATAAAATTTTCTGAAAATCTTTTAATATTCTGAATAATTCTAAACTAACCATATCGCTAAGATCGATGTACCCGACACAATGGATATTAGCGACAATGGTCGCAGTAATTCTTCGCCGTTTTTCGCCTGTCACGAAAATGCGAATAATCGCATTCAAGCTTCAACATAGCAGATGATTAACCACTCATCGAATGTTTTCATACTTTAGATAACATTTCCGTATCATCAATTCTTACCTACAGTTTGATACAACGAACGAATGGCTGAATATCTCGCTTCTATCTTCGGAACGGAAAAAGATAAGTATGTTCGTCAGTTTTGTTTGATTTCATCTCGAGATTAATCATCGTTTATCTAGAGTGAATTGTTCGTTTTATTTCAAAATTGGTGCATGCCGTCATGGTGAACGGTGAGAAAGTTCATGAATAGCAGATCTTTGTCATCTTTTGATTGACTATTTAGATGTTCACGTGTTCATAATAAACCAACGTTTAGTCAAGTATGAATGACAATTATCGAACTGAAAGTTTGATCCTTCTCCGCTTTTAGACGATTCTTTTGAAAAATCTTTATCTGAATCCAAATAATAATGCAGTTCCAAAACCTGAGGGTGGTTTTGGTAAGTACACACACAACAGAATAGTTTCCTATTTATGTTTTAATTTTCTGCCTGTGATAGAACAACATGCTGGAAATAATTATACCGATCATGAAGTTCAGCAACACTTCGAGTAAATTATTTGGAGATCTGCTATTTCTATAACATTGTCTTATTCTAGTGAATTTTATGAAGAAGTCTATACTGAAGTTGAAGATAAAGTAAGTTTTCCCGTCTATCAATATCTTTCCTTGCAATTTTCCTTCAAGCAAAGCACACCGGTGATTTTATCCTTTTGACTTTTATTATCGCGTCTATCTCCCTAAGGTTCTATCGATTATTGCAGGCTTAAACCAACAGCATTCTCATCTTGTGCTACCTATCCAGTGAAAAAAAACTATCACGTATATTAACTATTTCTCTCACATATCTAGTCATATTTTGCAGGAAAATCTCATTTCTTTTACTCAAACAGCTGCAGGACAGACAGACAAGGTAGATTGATGTCTAAACAACCGACACAAGGTTTTTCTTACAAACAAGAAAAAGAAAATATCAAACTTTTCATTGTGTTTACAGGTTTTTAGGGCTGATGTGTTTCCCCCCATTTTAAATTATTCTTTTCATTTTACATGAATACGATTTTAGTATGGAGAAATCGAAGCAATGACTGTCTGTGACAATCTGGGCGAACATCTGATCGGAAATATTTATATTAAGGTAAAAGGACACATTGACTTTGCTTATCCGAAAGTCGTCTGATTCATTTACTTAGTTTCGTTATGAAAGAGATGCAGAACAAGCAGTTAACGATTTAAACACACGATGGTTCGATCATAAGCCAATCTATGCTGAATTAAGGTAGAAATCAACAATATGTCATCTAATCGCTTATCCTTTGCTTGATTGTGTTTAGTCCAGTAACAGATTTTAAAGAAGCAAGCTGTCGACAGTATGAATTAGGAGAGGTAAGAAAGGATCTGATTGCAAGTTGATGTTCGATTTACATCTGTTTGATTTCAGTGTATGCGAAGTGGCTTTTGTAATTTTATGCATATCAAGACATTGTCACCTGATATTAAGAAACGTCTTCGTGAACGTCGAAAACGGTGTGTCTCACTCGAAGTTTTGCTTTTCGCAAAATGCATATTTATTTTGTTTAGATCACGTTCTCGCAGTCGATCGCCAGCAAGACGTAATAATAATAATCGCCGACGTTAATCGGCTAGCAGAATCAGCGAGAAGTGTCTGAATAGAATCATACTGTGCATGAAAGTATCTTGCTTCTTCAATCTTTTGTGTTATTCTAATAAGAATGTTAACTATCTGTTTTGTATATAAAATAAAAATAGAAGAGGAACGCAGATGAAAACTCCTCGTCACATCTCAAATTTCATTCTATATATCGTTTTTATTTTTATTAGATAGTCAATGGCAACTCCATACACCTCTGATATCCAACAGATAAATTCCCCGAAAGAGTTCGATGAATACATCCATCAACCATCGATCATCAACAAAGTCTTGTTAGTTCATGTTGAATTAGAACAGATTCCTGTTTGTAAAACTGTCAATGATGCTTTATCGGCTATCAATCGCGATCCTGAGTTTATGCAGCAATTAGCCATTTGTCGTTTAAATGCTGATCATTTCTACGATTTACTCAATACACAGAATGTCAATGCTGCGCCAACTGTTCTCTTCTATCATCGAGCGAAAGTGATCGACCGTGTCGATGGATTCAATCAAAGTGATTTATTAAAAAAGATTAAATTTCACGTGAATTCTATCGGTGTTGTTCAAACAACGGAAATCAGATCCGATTCCAGCTCACCCATGATTCAAGTTGAAAATAAAATCAAACAATTACTCGATTCATCACCGATAATTCTTTTCATGAAAGGCACACCTGCAAGTCCACAATGTGGTTTCAGTCGTCAAGCTTGTCATTTACTCGATGAACATAAAATCAAATACGACTATTTTGATGTTCTCGCTGATCAAAATGTTCGAGAACAGTTGAAGAGATATTCCAATTGGAACACATATCCCCAAGTAATTATGTTCATTGAGTACACACAAATATGTGAATCTCTGTTTTAGTTATACGTCGGTGGAGAATTGATCGGTGGATTGGACATAGTGAAGCAAATGATCGAAAATGGCGATTTTGAGTTGAAATTAAAAGAACAAAAACCACCTGGTTTAGACAAAGAGACGAAAAAATATTTGGAAAGTTTAATCAATCAAGCGCCGTTGATGCTCTTCATCAAAGGAACACCTGAAGCACCACAATGTGGTTTCACAAGAGAATTACTCGCGCTTTTATCGAATGCGAATGTTACTGGTTATAAAACATTCAATATTCTTCAAGATGAAAATGTTCGACAGAAATTAAAAGAATATTCTTCATGGCAAACCTATCCACAGATTTATGTCAATGGTCAATTCATCGGAGGTTTAGATGTTTTAAAGCAAATGAATGAAGATGGAACGTTAGTTGATACATTAACCAAAAGACAAGGTGTAGCGGTTTGAATAGAAGAGAAAAGATATTTTGGAAATAAATGATTGTCGATAGATAAAGGTCGTTTCTTAAGTATATTCGATTCCGATTATTTTTTAGATTAGTTGAACATTGAGATAACTCAAGAATGTCGGACATTTGGTGAGATTTATCTACTGAATCGTGTCATATTGATAGAATCTTTATTTTAGGCTTCAAAATTATGAAAGCTGTAAAAACTATTCTCAAGAGATCAATCAGAAAGTCAATGAGTTGAAAAAATTGCCAAATGGAAGTCCACAACGAGCGAAAGTAATCGCTCTTCATTGTATTATGAATCAACTCATTTATTTTCCTACAGATCTCCTCAACGATTCGCACAATGATGACAGAGTTTAACAAAGATGTTGACAAACTGTCCAGTGATTTAACTAGTCAATCTCGCAATGGTGCTGTGTAAGAAATTCATGAAAAGACATTGTTCTTTCAGATCTTATTCATTTTACGCCATGTAGAACGACAGGGGAAGCGAACCGTCGACGTACTTTGGTTGATACGATCAAACAATCGAAAGACGAAATCGAGAGAACGATGCGAGAGAGTTTCAATGCATATGCGTAAGTTTTCTTTATGGAAAAGAGAATTTCCACAGAAACTATTCATTTAGGCCACGCGATCGAATTGATCCCCGGTTTGCATCGGCAGTCGAAACCGAACATACACAAGGTTTAACCAATGAAGAATTTGCTGGTCTCCGTTCAAATTTACGAAAAAGTACATAAAAATTCACTTTTCAACAGAACTAAAAGATTCATTTTTTTTAGATAACGATGAAGCGATTGAAGCTTTGCATGCAATTGTTAAACGCCAAAAAGAGATCGGTGTTGCCATGAATTCTGAAGTCGATCGTCACAATGAAATTATCGATACTATAACCGATCGAACAGGTTTACTCGATTCTCGTGTTAAACGTCAAACAATGCTCGTTAAAACCATCGATCGTAAATCTTCAGCATTAGGTCTATGGATCATCATCATACTTCTCTTCATCGCAATTATCGTTATTGTTGCCATTCCATTTAAAAAATAATGTTAAACATTTGCCATTTTGTCATTTTCGCTCTCTGTAATCTATTTCATTTTTTATTATTATTATTTAAAAAGCAATCAATGGATGATTTAAATATGTTGATTCATAACTTTTTGTCATGACTTGCAATCTTTTTCTAGAATGATTATTCCGACACTCGTGCAGCTCAGCAGTCGAGTTCTGGGAAAATATTTCCTATCGATCGAAAGCTTTCGATATATTCCGGATGAATTTGTCGAGAACATCTTTGACAGTTATCTGAAAATGAATTCATCGCTATCGATTATAAGCCAAGAAGATATGATACGAATTGTAAAAGTGTTAACAGATTATCATGGTGACTTATTCTGCACAAGTTTCTCTTATATTATTGCGAATCATTTGAATATCTTAACTTCGAATTTTTACTTTCATTTATTTAAATGTGTACATAGAAATTTAGTTCAATTGGACTTTTCTCATGCGTTGGAGAAATATACATTGGAAGAGAAAGAACAGTTCTTGAACATTTTCGGTCAAATGGAAACAATTGAATATTTGAGATTAACTTATAATCGATTAGATGATGATGATATTCGATTATTGACTGCAAGTCATCGGATTCAAAGCAAAGCATTGTGTAATTTGCATAGTTTGCATCTTCAAGGTAAACATGACAATTAAGTAAAGACGTGGAAATGTTTGGATTCATCTAGGTAATCATCTTACCAGTCGTTCGGCTCGGTTCCTCAAATCACTAACAACACTTGATACTTTGTATATCTCCCTGGCATCTCTTCATGTAAAAGATGTATTAAGTCAATATTTGCTTAACATTTTGTGAATGTTTAGGACAAATCGGAATTTGTTAGAGAGTTCGACAATCTTTACGAATGTATTTGTTCGGTGCAGAATAGTTGGGAGGAAATTATCAATCGAGGTTGGATTGGCAAGATTCCTCAATTGCAATCTTCGAATGCATCAGGCGACAATAGTTTTTGTATATAAATATCTTTTCTTCCTCAGTTATTTCCTCTGAAATCGACATGATTTAGATCGCAAACGACGTCGTGTAGATAATGATGATTCAATTGCCTTAATCAAACTCGTTCGGCATTGTTCAACATGTCAGCCAAATTCATTGAAAAAAACGATGAAGAAAACGGAGAAAATCATTTCTAATCCAATAGGATTCATAGATTCTAGTCAAGCCAATGATCTCTTATCATGTTATCTATAGAATAGAATTTCTTCTTTCAGATATGCTTTCATCAAAATCATTTTCCTTAGTTCGTTTGAACCAATCGACGCATCTGTTTCGACGTTCTTTTTTTAATCAAACTTATATTAATGGTCAATGGGTTTCATCACAAACGGGAGAAACTTTTAAAGTTTATAATCCAGCAAACGGCGAAGAAGTAGGTAGTGTACCTAATTGCAATACGCAAGATGCGGAAAAGGCCATTCAAGCAGCGTATGATGCATTTCAAAATAAATGGTCAACGAAGACGGGAAAAGAACGAAGTGTCATCATGAGAAAATTCAATGATCTAATCTTGAAAAATAAAGATCATTTGGCAAAAATCTTGACAACTGAAATGGTGAGATAGGTTTTCAAAAGGAAAATGAAATGCTCACTGTATGAATAGGGTAAACCGGTAAAAGAAGCCGCTGGAGAGATTGTGTACGGTGCAAGGTAAGAAACAAAGAGTAATTGAAATAAACTCATTTTGATAGTCTATAGTTATATCGAATGGTTTGCAGAAGAAGCAAAACGTATTCACGGTGATGTACTTCCAGTTGGGATAGCAAATCGCCGTTCATTTGTTCTTCGTCAGCCAATTGGTGTCTGTGGTTTTATCACACCATGGAATTTCCCAAGTTCAATGATTCTACGCAAAGCTGGTCCAGCACTGGCTGCTGGCTGTACGATTGTAGTTAAACCAGCAGAAGACACACCCTACTCGTGCTTGGCTCTTTGTGATGTAAGCAGAAATGCAAAGAAATGAAAATTACTTTCTGACCTTGTTTCTTCTCATTGATTAGTTGGCAAAAGAAGCAGGTTTTCCTGATGGTACATTGAATGTGTTAACCAGTACACGATCAGCTGAGATTGGTAAATTTCTTTGCGAACATCCCCTGATTTCCAAAATGTCATTTACTGGATCGAGTAAGGAACAATCTCTATATGAAGATTAAATCAAACCTGTACGTTTTAGCTGAGGTCGGAAAGAAGATCATGGCGATGTGTGCATCAACGGTGAAAAAAATATCGTTGGAACTTGGTGGAAATGCACCATTCATAGTATTCAATTCTGCAGATGTCAAACAAGCAGTACAAGGAGCAATGGCATCGAAATTTCGTGCTTCCGGTCAAACGTGCGTGTGTGCGAATCGAATTCTTGTGCAAGATGTAGATGACGATGAGAGTATTTGAAAATAGCTGAATGAAAAATCACTGTTTAGGGTATTTATGATGAATTTGTTGCCGAATTTACCAAGAAAGCTAAAGCACAGATTGTGGGAGACGGCCAAGACGAGCGAACACATTTAGGACCGGTTATCAATAAAGATCAATACGAAAGAATTATCGATTTTATTGATGACGCCAAAAAACAAGGAGCAAGAATTGTCACTGGTAAGAATAGAAATATTCAAGGATTTTGAAAAGTGATTAGTCTTACTTTCGACTAGGTGGAAATGAGAAGAAAGGAAAAGAATCAGGATTTTTCATTCAACCAACTGTCGTCGCTGATGTTAAGTTATCGATGCTTGTAGCTAAAGAAGAAATATTTGGACCTATCGCTGCACTTATCAAGTAAAATCCATCGATGACTCTCGCTTCAACTTAGTTCTGTTACGTTCAAATAGGTTTAAAACAGAAGATGAAGCCATCAAAATTGCGAATTCAGTCGATGTCGGTCTTGCGGGTTTGTCAATGTTTTACGAAAATCAATCAGATACAATGCTTCTGTTTAGGTTACTTCTATAGTCAAGATTTATCACAAATTTGGCGTGTGGCAGAACGACTTCAAACTGGTATGGTCGGTATCAACGAAGGACTTATCTCATCCGTTGAAGCGCCATTCGGTAACCAATCTCAATTGTCATTTTTCAATCGTATTCTTTTGTTTCTTTTATCAAAGGTGGAATAAAGCAAAGTGGTTTCGGACGTGAAGGTTCCAAATATGGTATTGATGATTATGTTAACATGAAATATCTCTGTATGGGCGGTTTAAAAGATGTTGATCGAAGTTCGCAATAATATTTTTTTCTCGAATGATACATCTTTCTGCATTCCGTAATGACCTCTGAAAATGTTTTTATAGTTCAAAACGATAAGTTTTTCTATAATTTAATATACCCGCGCGCTAAACTTCTTAAATATACGTGTCTACATCTAAAAATGACTAATTCTGACTCACTAGTAAGGAAAAGAACAGGAAAGAAAGTCTATCGAGTATATGATCTATTTCGGTTCGTTTCAAAGTGATTTTCCAATCGAGACGGACTCTTTATCTATATATCTCTCTGTTTACCATTCGTATTTTCATTCAAAACGTCGACGACGACGACAACAGTATCGTCATACTTTGATCGATTGTGCTGTTTGGCTAACCATCTAACTTACTAACTAACACAAATTATAATGATTATTCGAACTCGATCTCGACATTCCCAAAAGCACAATTGTAATTTACATTCATTTGCACGCGGCTTCGATGATTTTGTCGTCACATGGCCACCAACGACTAACAACACCACGAGCATCACTGATGACAAGTAACTTCTCCGAAAAAAAAAGATTAATTTTCTTTTTGTATTCCAATGTAATCGATGCTCAAACAAATCTGTGCATGTGTATAAGTATTTTTCTATTTGATCTGGTCTTTCATTCTGTATTTAAATCTTTCTTTTTTCATTTGTGTAACTATCTGATATGTTCAAGCGTATGTTGTGTAGGAGATAGAACAAGAAACACAACAAAGTTTCAGTTGTACGTATACGCGTCAATTCGTATCGACACGACATAATCAAGAACATGGAAGATACTATATTTTTTCAATTATTTGTGTTATTGAACAGATCTATGTGTGCAATGATTTAGTATTATAGATTTTTCTCTTTTTTTCCCCATTTTCCTTTTTCTATTTTCTATAACAATAAACAAAGTATAAATTCTATTAAACGATTTCGAACCTGAACAAATCAATCTTTTATTTCGCTTTCCGGATCATATGCTAACACAAAGTGACTTCATTTTTTCAGATATTTCATTAGAAAGAGAAAAGAAAACGAAACATGTCTGATCTACCACCAGGTTGGGTTAAACACACATCCAGTCGCACAGGTTTGTTAAAGAAGATCTTTAAGATAAATCATATTGGAGAATCTTTTTAGGTAAAGAATATTACTATAATTCAGTAACCAAGGAGAGTCGATGGGAACATCCCGGATTGACTGGTGGTAAAACATCAGGTGGACGTAATGGAGGAAACGGTGATCAAGTCCAAGTCCTTCATATTCTGGTTAAACATACAGGCTCGCGTAATCCGAAAAATTATAAAGGTGAAACAATTACACGGAGTAAAGACGAAGCTCGAAAGAGACTTGATGGTTTGTAGTACGAAAAAGTCTTTTTCTATCTGATCACTTCGATGTATTTCTAGAAATTATAAATGAATTACATAATGCAAGTGATCTTGAATCTACATTCCGTCACATTGCCAAAGATAAAAGCGATTGTAGTTCAGGTCAACGCGGAGGTAAGATGTTTGCTTGGTATTGTTTGAAAAAAATGGAATGAACTTCTTATTCAGGTGATCTTGGCATGTTTGGACGTGGAGCTATGCAGAAAGCGTTTGAAGAAGCGTCATTCGCTTTAAATGTCGATGAAATGAGCAAAGTTGTCGATTCAGATTCTGGTTTACACGTCATTCTTCGCATCGCTTAAGACGAATTTCATCAGTTTAGTTCCAATAGGACATTCTCTTTTTTAAAACTCATCAAATGTGATTTCACCGATGTTTCTTCTTTGAAAATAAACACCCAATAACAGACATCAAGGCAAATGACATCGATTACCGTTAATCAACGAGATATTGCTGTCCTTTTCTTTCATATCCGATGACATATTATCTATCGACTGGAATGCCTGATTTCTTGTTTATTTAAACATATTTTCCGATTGTGTATAACGGCAAATACTCGAAATCGTTTGATGGACTCTTTGCAGATGTGCTAATATACACACATATAATATTCTTCCTTGTTCTTTCGATGTTTTTTTACATCGGCACTCATCTTTTTCCACACACACATTACCCACATGAATAGATAGATGAATTATAACAAACAAAACCCGACAACGTAATAATCAATCAACAATAATAATAACAGCTAGTCTAATTGAATAAGAAAAGAAAAACGCGAGTTGTTTTGCAAGAATCGAGAGAACAGTAAAGGTGGCGAAAGTCAATCTCAAGATATTCAGAGACGTGTCATCTAAGAGTGTAAATCATTGTTATGACGAGTATATTCTTGTTGATTACAATTCCATATTTATGAATCTATTCTTAACCCCAAAGAGTCCTTTGTCGCTTTTAGAGTAATATATCAACCCACTGAGAGAAAGAAAATAGGATATATACAATCAGCACAAACACAAGCATTTATTTTTAACAATCGAATATACGGTTGTAGAAGGACACATAGCAAATTAATTCATGTCATCACAAGTTCTTCCGATTCATCGTGCGGACAAGAATTCCACAAATGGAAACGGCAATAACAATAAGAATGAGATTTGGTTTGATGCATTCAACTTCGCACCCGGTCAAGATCACAATATCCGCTGGTTAAATCGACCGAATCAACAATTGGTACAAGAAAGATATCCTTATGACATCGAAAAGTTTCGTATCACATTCGATGTGGAAAACTTTCAACCCGAACAAATCAAAGTAAATCTAATCCCATATACTTTCACGTCAATCTCTCCTTTCACATTCTCTCTAGATCTACATACAGAACTATAAATTAACTATCACCGGTGTCTATGAAGAACGTAGCGAAGGACGACACATGCAAAAACAATTTGAAAAGTCCTATGACATACCCAACAATGCTGATGTCGAGGTCATGGCGTGTTATATAACACCTGCTCACATGTTAGTCGTTGAAATTCCATTGCAACAAAATTTACAATCACCAGGAATCCAAGGTGGACAACTAAATGTAAACAATCTCATGAATGATAATCGCCGTTTATCATTCTCATTAAATAAATACAATACACTGAATAATCAAGGTTTGTTGTCTTCGTCGAATAATTTATCAAGTTTGCCACCGCCTGCTCAACAAGTTCGTCGGTCATCAATTACAAAAACGACAACAACGACGACTGGATCGACCCCGCTTCCACCCGAAGCGGCCGAATTGTTGCGTAGCGCTGAGACAACCACCGGTGGTACACAGACCTATACTACGCGTGTAACTGAACGTCGACCATCGAATGTAGTGATCAATGAACCAGCATCATTACCACCAATCACATCAACGAATAATCAAACTAAAACAACAACGATTTTAACCAGTGCTGGCAAGTATTCAACTTATTTTCCGACATGAAATGTATAACTTTTCAATGAACATAGATTTGGCGAATCTACCTATCGAAATTCCTCCAGAACTTTTAGCAACCGGCGGTACGATTACTATCCAAAAACGAAAGGTGTCTGTAACAAAAACTGGTGTCGATCCAAATGCAGTTCATTCGCCTCCTGTACCACCGACAAGTCAGAATACTACACAATCGACTTCATCAACAATGACAACAGCAAATAATTTACCACAACCGATGACAACCGAACGAAGAAACTCAAGAGTATCAGAAACGATTGTCTTTCATCAATTTTGATATATTTTCTTGTTTTTAGACAATATCAACTAGCAATCAGCGGCGAACAGTTACACTTGATGACTTTCTCCAAAATAAATCATGGAATCCGTCAATAATTGACAGTCCTGATGGCAAAAAGATTCTCTTAATGCGTTTACAATTGAAACCAGAAACAACAGCTGATCAATTGAAAGTAACTCTGAATGGCAATGTTTTGCGCGTGGAAGTCGATGCAAAATCTTCACCAGAAACTGGTCGATTCATGAGTACATATATTTCATTTCAAACTTGAAATAATTCTCCACCTTTTCCTATCTTTAGACGAACATAGTTATCGGCAAATAACTCTTTTCCCGACATGTGAAGTCGATCAATTGAAAACCGAACTTCGAACTGATGGATGTCTCTACATTCAAGTGCCAATTAAACTATAATACAAAAAAAAAAGACTGCTTCAAACAAATTTTCTACGCTATCTGTCCTTCAATGCTATTTACCCTCATACTATTTTTGTTATTATGCAAATAATATATCATGCTTTCAATATTCATTCTAGAAACTTTACTATAAACTACGATGATCGTGGTTTCGACTATGCATACTGTCGTAACTTTATCTTTCGTTATGTTTAACCAGGAAAAGGTTTTTTCTCATATTGACATTCTTACTTTCGCAAACATTGTGTTATTGATATAAGTATATGACAAGAAACTAACACAGATACGATCAGATTTCAACGTTTAATAGTCAGATGAAATGATAAAGAAATTCCTATCGATCGAATTACGAGCAAAATTTCCTTTGATTTCGTTGTTCTATTTTTAACGCTTCTTTACTCAAGAATCTTTTACACACGCTAGTTTCTTTCTGTTCTACATTCAATGAGAAAACAAACGCAGTTGTACAGTTCCAACTGGAATGCCATCTTTCGATCTTTCCAATTTTCCATTGGTTATCGACACACGCATTGAAAAAAAAGAACATCTAGCACAGTCCCTTCTTCTTCTATCCATATACATACATATGTAGGCTATGTATGAATGTATGTTGATATAACTGATTGATTTGGTATAACAAATCGGCTCGCTGACCCGTATACCACCGCGTGCAATTGCTTCTCAATAGATTAATAATATTTTTTCTCCATGTCTCGCTCAGATTTCTATTCGCACTCGTAAAATTGTCCGTTCATCATTTCATATCCCATCACATAGACATCTTCATCGTTCTCTCAACCATATTGTCCTACTCATTTCACTTGCTCTCATCTATCAAAAGATCAAACTAACTTAGTTCATGGTCATTACAAACACTATTTTCTTTCTAAGATGTCTCGGTCAAACATTTTGTAATACTCGACAAAA